CCGTGGTATGAGGATGGAGCAGCAAGTTTGCTGTTAACGTTGGACTCCCGCCTTCGCGCCGCGCGCGCTCTTCTTATATTAAGTCGGGCACATTCCTCTACAGGAGGAATGTCTAAACAATTGTCAAAACATAGTCTTCTAGGAACGATTTTTGAGCATGCTTGACTCAATGTTTGAGCTTTTTGACTGTTTTTTATGTTTCGTCCAAAATCCGCCTGTAGGGGGACACGCCCGACCTAATCTTAGAAGCGTCTAAGCTACACGGACGACGCACGGATGGCATTCAGATGTGAGGCTCTCGCCTCTGGGCAGCGCTCGTTCGTTTCAAACAAACTTACCAGTTTCACGGATGGCGGGGTGGTGGTGTTCAACATGTGGCCCTCGATTTGGTGACGCGCGCATTCTCTTTACATCGTAGAAAACATAAACTTTTGGCGCGCCGCGCAGATTTCTTGTATCCGCGCTGGGCTCCTCCGGCGCCGCCCCTGGCGCGCTCAGCGCACCAGGGAGAGGGGCCCAACGCAGATCCAAGAAACCCGCGCGGAGCGCCAAAAGATTATGTGTATGTTTATCCTTCCTCGTTACCATCTGCAAGAAGTCGTACAGATGGATGGCGGTTCGTTTTCAGACTGGGGGTCCGCGCTTGTGAAATTGCTGCAGACGGCTACACGGATGTAGAGCGGATGCCTTCTTGAGCGAGGCTCATCGCCTCTAGACCTCCACGGGCTCGCGACACGGACTCCTTGGAATCTGTGCAGAGAGTCTGCACCGACGACGGGGCACGTCCCTGTCAGCACGGGGCTCTCGCCGGACCGCTCCTCGAACTTCTATGACCCTCCCCTCCTCTGCACCGGGGGCGGCCCTGTGTCGAGACGGGTCGATCCACTTCTGGGGAGCCCGCAGGGGCACGCTGCCGCGCGCGCGCACGACACGCATTCGGCATCCTGTCCTGTCCTGGCCCTGTCCTGCTCCTCCTTCTCCTCCTCCTCCTCCTCCTCCTCCTCCTCCTCCTCCTTCTCCTCCTCCTCCTCCTCCTCCTCCTGTCCCTGTCCTGCTCCTCCTCGGCCTCCTCCTCCTCCTCCTTCTCCCTCCTCCTCCTCGTCCTCCTACTTCTTCCTGTCCTGTCCTGTCCTGTCCTCGCTTCACCCCGCATGGCCGCGTGGGCGGAAGGCAGGGATGCGTTGTGCAACACAGCGTGGCCCTCGGGGCGGTCGCCTGGCAAGGGGGGCGCTTCCCGCAGAGGGAGGAAGCACACCCATAATACGTGTTTGGGTTTGGTTTGGTTTGGTTTGGTTTGTTGTTGCTATTGCTGTTGCTGCTGTTGTTTTGTTGTTGTTACTGTTGGTTTTTGTTTGTTGTTGCTGTTGATGTTGTTGTTTTGTTGTTGGGGTTGTTGTTGTCGTTATTGTGGTTGTTGATGTTGGGGTTGTTGTTGTCGTTGTTGTTGTTCATGATGTTGTTGTTATGTGGTCGTTGCTGTTGTTGTTGGTGTTGTTTTTGTTGTTGTTGTTGTTGTTGTTGTTGTTGTTGTTGTTGGTGGTGGTGGTGGTGCTGCTGTTGTTGTTGGTGTTGTTGTTGGTGTTGTTGCTGCTGCTGCTGCTGCTGGTGTTGTTATCCTCTGGTCCTTCCAGTCGCCCTGGTCCATAGCCCCATTTGACGCCCAAGGGAGCGCCGTCTCACCCCCAGGCAGCGCTAGAAAAGGTGAGGCAATGGCTTGCGTGCCTCTCCAGAAAGGCACGCTCCCGCACCGAGTTGAAGAGAAAGGCCCAGCGACAAGGCTCTCTCTCTCTCTCTCTCTCTCTCTCTGGCGACATCTTGGAGCTCAGTATTGGAAGGATGTCTCAAACGAAACGGGCCGGACAACCTCCCGCACACGTTCTGACAAGTCCACGTCACAATCGCTTCCTTTAGGTCCTCTCCTGCAACTCCCTTCCTTCTCCCTCCTCCTCCTCCTCCTCCTCTCCCTCCTCCTGCCTGCTCCCTCATCCACATCCTCCTCCTCCTCCTCCTCCTCCTCCTCCTTCTCCCTTCCATCTCCTCCTCCTCCTCCTCCTCCTCCTCCTCCTCTTCCTCCACCTCCTCTTCATCACGAACGGCATCTCGGAGCTCACAGTTGCGAGGATGTCTCCAGCGTAACGGGCTGAGTTGCGACGATGTCTTGGGCGAAACGTGCTGCGAGGAAGTCTCAGGCAAAACGGGCTGGACCACCTCGAGCGCGGCGTCTCAGAGCTCCGAGTTGCGGGAGCCTCCTGGGGCCTCCTGGGGTCTCCTGGGGCTTCCTCCTGGGGCTTCCACCTGGGGCTTCCTCCTGGGGCTTCCTCCTGGGCCTCCTGTGGCCTCCTGGACCCCACGTGGAGCTTCCTGAAGCCTCTTGGGGCTCCCAAGCGGGGATATCTAACATGTGGCCGTCTGGGCCCCCCGAAATGGGGGGCCACAAGAGCAGGAAAAGTCAACGAATCGACACCGGATGTATATTAACTTGACACGTTCTGATAGGCGGCCTCCTGGGGCCTCCTGGGAGCCTCCTGGGAATCTCCTGGGGACCCCCGGGGCCTGTCATGGGCGTCCTGCGGCCTCCTGAAGCTCTCTGGGGCCTCCTGGAGCTCCCAGGGTCCCAGGGGGGATATGTAACATGTGGTCTTCTGGGCCCCCAGGCTGGACCACCTCTTGCGCGGCATCTGGGAGCTCAGAGTTGCGAGAATGTCTTGTGCGAAACAGGCCGGACCACCTTGCACACGGCATCTCAGAGCTCAGAGTTGCGAGGATGTCTCAGGCGAGACGGGCCAGACCACCTCGCGCAGGGCATCTCAGAGCTCAGACTTGTGAGGATGTCTCAGGCGACACGGGCCGGACCACCTCTAGCGCGGCAGCTCAGAGCTCAGAGTTTGGAGGATGTCTCAGGCTAAACGGGCCAGACCACCTCGCGCGCGGCATCTCGGAATGCAAAAGTGCGAGGATGTCTCAAGTGAAGCGGGCCGGACCACCTCTTGGGCGGCATCTCGGTGCTCAGAGTTTGGAGGATGTCTCAAGCGAAACGGGCCGTACCACCTCTCGCGCGGCATCAGAGAGCGCAGAGGTGCGAGGATGTCTCAGGCAAAACAAGCCGGACCACCTCGCGCACAGCATATCAGGGTTCAGAGTTTGGAGGATGTCTCAGGCGAAACAGGGCGGACCACCTCTTGCGCGGCATCTCGGAGCCCAGAGTTCCAAGGATGTCTCAAGCGAAATGGGCTGGACCACCTCTTGCGCGGCATCTCAGAACTCAGAGTTGCGAGGATGTCTCAGGCGAAACGCGCCGGACCACCTCGCGCGCGGCATCTCAGAGCTCAGAGTTTGGAGGATGTCTCAGGCGACACGGGCCGGACCACCTCTCGCGCAGCATCTGGGAGCTCAGAGTTTGGAGGATGCCTCGGGCGAACCGGGCCAGACCACCTCGCGCGCGGCATCTGGGAGCTCAGAGTTTCGAGGATGTCTCGGGCGAAACGGGCCGCACCACCTCTTGCCCGGCATCTGGGAACTCAGAGTTTGGAGGATGTCTCACGCGAAACGCGCAATCCCGGACAACTCAGAAACGAGAGTTGCGAGGATGTCTCAGGCGAAACGGCCCGGACCACCACATTTTTTTGAGGACGTTTGTGCTTTGAATTCCTTCGGCCGGAATTAGCTTCTATCACAACAGCACCCCGTTCAGCAAGCTGTTTGGGGAATCATTGTTGATCCCTCCCGCCCGGTGCACATTGTCTTTTTTCGATTGAAGTGCCCCTCCCCGGGCTCGCACCTTGTTCTTAAGTAGGGAAGGTCTTGAGGCTCAAACTGTGTCGTTGGCCCCCGGTTTACAACAACGGCTCCCGCCTGATACTTCCTCACAATGTATTGAAGAATCGCGCTCTCGCTTAGGACTTCCTAGCAATTCTCCACCGAATCGCGGCTCCCGCTTGATATTTGTTTGACAATGTATTGCAGAATCGCGTTCTCGCTTGGGACTTCCTCGCAACTTACCCCCGAACCGCTTCGTTTGATATTTCCTTTCAATTTATTCAGATGCCGGTCCTCGACACTCAGGAATCGCGCTTCCGCTACATATTGCTTGGCGGTTTAAGCAGGACTCACGCTTCAACGACCCGCCCGCTCGACCCGCCCGTCGGGGCCTGCCCGCCCGTCGCTGCCCTTCGTGGCCCACGCTGGCTTTTCTCACGATTTACTCAAGAATCGCGCTATCGCTCGAGATTTCCTCGCGATTCATGCAGGACCCTCGCTTCAGCAACCCGCCTGCTCGACCTCGTCGCCTGGGCCCGCCTTCCCGACCTGCCCGCTATGGGTCTGCCCACCCGATCTGCCCGTCTGGTCCTACCAGTTGTTTTCTGCTTCTTGGCACCCCCTCCTGCTAATTTCTTTCGTGCTCCATTATTCTCTCTCCCCCTTCCACCCGTCCTCTCTTCATTTGTCCTAGAGGCTGCACTGAATACACGTGGCAGGTAAGGAAGATACCAAGGGGGTACCATCGAAGACGACGAGGGCGGGTACCGAGGGTTTGGCATTTACGTATTGATTAGCACGTGAGCAGACCGGAGCGAGCAATCTTAACATGCTTGTTGCTGTTGCTGCTGCTGTTGTTGTGGCTGTTGTTGCCGTGTTGTGTTGCTTCTATAGCAAGCCCACATCATGTTTCAAGACCGAGCAGCTTCCAACCCAGAGTCTTAGTCTTCTCAGCATATAATATACAGTCTGGGTGCCAGGGCGGACTATGGAGGACGGCACCCACGACCAGCATGTTTTATGCCTTAGATGCGTGGGCGTGTTTCCACAGTGTTGTTAGATGCACCGTACCTGAGCAAATAGCTAAGGCATCGAGACTGGCAGTGTTCTTCTCAAGCTGAAGATTTCTATGCAAGATGCTCCGGTTTACTAGGAGGGACATATGAGTGGGGGATTTTTGGGTTGGGAGGGTGTACCGAAGCATCGCTGATGCATCCTGGATCTCCTCTGTCCTGCTCCTGCCTGCTCATGCGCAGCCCTTTTGGGCTCGAGGCCGAGCCGGGGGGCGGAGCATCGCCCTCCCATTCCGTCAAAGAACCTTGTTTACCCCGACCAGCCACCACCGTATCATCCATGCGGGCTCTTCTCGCGGCGGCGGCCCTGCAGCAGTGCTCCGCCCTGTCGGGGCTCTTCCGCATGATGCACGACCTGCTCCAGGACCTCGGCCCCGCGGTCTCCGTCCAGGTGCTGACGCCCTGGGGCGAGGAGCTGGTCGGGACGGCCACCGACTCGCACGCCCCCTGCGAGGACGCGTCGGAGGGGAGCAACTGCTTCAACGCGGTCATGTGGCTCAAGATGGGCGGTTTCAGCAAGTTTCCGCACTGGTACCCGGGGTACACCGCGGAGTCCCCCTTCCAGGACGTGCAGGCCATGCTCAACCGCACAGGCAAGTCTCATTGCCCGAAGCCTTGTGCGACGGCATCCTTCGCGAGCACGCCGCTGCAAGCCACTGACAGTGTTCCCGCTTTGCACAAGCTTCCCCGTTACCACACACCGGTGGAGGGCGACAATTGCCACGATGCGGTAGAAGGCGACCACTGCTTCCGCGCCATCAAGTGGTTCATGAAGAAGGGCATCGCGGCGCACCCCGACTGGTACCCCAACCTCAGCGCCAGCTCCACCAGCCAAGAGGTGATGCTGTTGCTGCTGCTCCTCCTTCCTCCTCCGCCTCCCCCTCCTTCCCCTCCTCCTCCTCCTTCTCCTCCTCCTCGTCCTCCTCCTCCTCCTCCTCCTCCTCCTCCTCCTCCTCCTCCCCCTCCTCTTCCCCCTCCTCCTCTTCCTCCTCCTCCTCCTCCTCCTCCTCCTCCTCCTCTTTCTCCTCCGCCTCCTCCCACTCGTTGCGCCTGGATGCTACGCTCCTCCTCCTGCTCCTCCTCATTTTTCGACGTTGGGCAAGCATGAGGTGGGACCTGTTGCGTCTGCGTGGCAGCCATAGGAAAAGAAGTGAGGTGGCCGACTCAGGTCTGAAGGCAAACCAAAAACGCCAGGCTGGCTCAGCGGAAAACAGAAGGACGCGAGAGACAAAGCAAAAGACAGTGGGCCTCGAAGAGCAAAGAGTATGCGCCAGCCAGACGGTGAAGTAAAGAGAGAACCGTAACGCATCTAATCCTAGTAAACCAGCACCGAGGAACGATCCGAACGACAGAGAGAGAGAGTGATATACACGTGTAACTGTAGGCTGCTGGTGGTCGCTCCCCCCAAGCATCCTCCTATCATTTACCCCCTGCCACCACGTTCAGTCAAGGCTAGCAGAGAGGAGCAAATATGAGCAAAACGACAGGCGACGCGTGCAGCATGTAGCAGATAGGCTTGCACAGACTGTGGTGGCTGGCCTGAGGCAGTGCAAGTGCGAGTGTAAACAAAGGCTGGCAAGCATGTAACATCAGGAGCGTGCGGCAGTTCTTGGGCTGCTACCAGTTTTTTTGTTCCTGGTGCACCCCGAACCTTCTCGGCCCCAGGTGTAGCACGGACCCTTTGTGACAAATAGCGGCCATAATACGTAGCACCCCGCAATTGCGGATAAGAGTGAGGGGGCGGGCGCGGGCGACGCGGGCGTCGTCGAGCCGGCGGACCTCGTGGCCCCCACCTTCCCTGTCGATGGCGCTCTCCTCCTCCTCCTCCTCCTCGTCCTCGTCCTCGTCCTCGTCCTCATCGTCATCGTCATCGTCATCCTCCTCCTCCACCTCGTCCTCTTCCTCTTCTTCCTCATCCTCCCTCTCCCCCCTCGTCCTTCCATCATCGTCCTCCCATTGTCGTCCTCCCCCTCATCGGCCTCCATCATCGTCCTCCCATTGTCGTCCATCATCATCCTCCTCCCCCTCCTCCCCCTCCTCGTCTCCTCCTCCCCCTCCCCCCTCTCCTCCCCCTCCTCGTCCTCCTCCTCCTCTTTCTCACATTCTCCTTACATCCTCTCTTCTTCCGCGTCCTCCTCGTCCCCTGTTTACTCCTCCTGCCTCCCCCTCCTTTCCTAAGATAACGGCAACGCAATCCTTTTTTCCACTTTATGCTCCCCGACTTTTCTGGCCAAGACAACTCGCCAGGGCAAAGTTGCTGGACGGGCTGGTGTGGATGCGCGGGGCTTGAAGAGTTTGTTGCGGGCTCAGACGGCATGCAAAAATCCACCGCCGCGCTTGTGCGGCATTGGTTTGTTCAGTGAACGTGGTTTGGGTTGCGGGTGGGTCGCGGGCTCTCCACCTCCACCTGGAAGGAATGCAAAGCAACCCGCCGCAGGCGCCGAAAAATTTGTTTGCACACTGAACGTGGTTTGGGTCGCGGGTGGGCCGCGGGTTCTCCACCGGGAACGAATGCAAAAGATGCCCGCCGCAGGCGCCGAAAAATTGGTTTGTACCCTGAACGTGGTCGCGGGTGGGCCGCGGGCTCTCCACCTGAAACGAATGCAAAAGATGCCCGCCGCAGGCGCCGAAAAATGTGGTTTGTACCCTGATCGTGGTTTGGGTCGCGGGTTGGTCGCGAGTTGGTCGCGGGCTCTCCACCTGGAAGGAATGCAAAAAAGCCCGCCGCAGGCGCCGAAAATGGTGGTTTGTACCTTGAACGTGGTTTGGGTCGCGGGTGGGTCGCGGGTGGGTCGCGGGGTGGGTCGCGGGTGGGTCGGGGTGGGTCGCGGGTGGGTCGCGGGTGGGTCGCGGGCGGGTCGCGGGGTGGGCCGCAGGCGGGTCGCGGGGAGGGTCGCGGGAGGGTCGCGGGTGGGTCGCGGGGAGTCGCGGGAGGGTCGTGGGGTGGGTCGCGGGGTGGGTCACGGGTGGGTCGCGGGTGGGTCGCGGGTGGGTCGCGGGGTGGGTCGCGGGGTGGGTCGCGGGGTGGGTCGCGGGGTGGGTCGCGGGGTGGGTCGCAGGTGGGTCGCGGGGCGGTATGCGGGTGGGACGACGGCAACAAACAGCAACAACAAAGAACAAACAACAAACAACAACAACAACACCAACACCAACAACAACAACAACAACAACAACAACAACAACAATCATTTTACCCGAACGCTCAGTGTTCTCACCAGTGCCAGGGTTTTCATGCGACGCGAGACAATACCCCCACTTCGTGGGGGGGCAGTTCAAGCTCTACCAAATATCCAAACGACTCTTCGCGACCACCCAAACCCAGCTTCCCGCCCTATGACGTTGGGACACTTCACTTCGTGGCGTGCGGACGACCGTGGCTACTACACTGGCGTGGGGTACACACCCACAGAACTTGGTCACTTATTCGGGGCGCGCGTGTGCCCAGCATCCTGCAATTGTGACATACAATACATGACACAGACAGACAGAGAGAGAGACAGAGAGCAGACAGAGAGAGAGACAGAGAGAGCGGAGTTGGTCACATTTTTGGGGCAAGTTCCTGAGATCGTCGTGTTTTTTGTTGGTCTTGCGCGCGCGAATGTCCACTTTACTTTTTTTTGCAAGGGATGTTGAAATTTGATTATGTAAGAACAAGAAAAAGTAGCTCGCGCGAGCTTATGTAACATAAATGTTGAAAAACCATTGGTTTTGTGGGAGTCGGACAGCGCGCGCGGGATGAAATTTGGACATTTTTTTTTGAAAAACCATTGGCTTTTTGATGTTTTTATGTTGAAATCGTTACGAAACCTAAGGTTCTGGAAGGATTTCGTCTTGCGCGCGCGAATGTCCACTTTACCTTATTTTTTGCAAGGGATTATTGAAATTTGATTATGTTAGAACAAGAAAAAGTAGCTCGCGCGAGCTCATGTAACATAAATGTTGAAAAACCATTGGTTTTGTGGGATTCGGACAGCGCGCGCGGAAGGACATTTTGACAATTTTTTCTTAAAAAACCATTGGGTTTTTGATGTTTTTATGTTAAAATCGCTACGAAACCTAAGGTTTTGGAAGGATTTCGTCTTGCGCGCACGAATGTCCACTTTACCTTATTTTTTGCAAGGGATTCTTGCAATTTGATCAATAAGAACAAGAATTTTCATTTTATAATGTTTTTTGCAAGGGAAAACGGATTACAACAAAACAACCGGATCTGGACCAATCGTTTTGCCTGAGGCTTCCTCACGAAAATGATGAAAATGTAGCTGCGGCCTAGGCGCGGCGGGGGGGCCGTGCACCAGGGGTCCCAACAATAATTATTCTTTAGAATTAATAATGTTCAACAACAACAACAACAATTACTAGCACGTGGGGACACTCCGTTCTCACCAGTGCCAGGGTTTTCATAGGAGGCGGGCAATACCCCCACTTTGTGGGGGGGCCGGTTCAAGCTCTACCAAATTTCCAAACGACTCTTCGCCACCACCCACACCCAGCTTCCCGCCCTATGACGTTCGGACACTTCACTTCGTGGCATGCGGACGACCGTGGCTACTATTCAGGGCCCCGCGGCCGACGACGACGGCGTGCGCGCGCGAAGAAAAAAACGAATGTGTCCCGCATGGTATTATTTGACAGGGATGATGGCCCTGGCAGGTGCGCAACCGTTGTCGCAGAAGTTCGAAAAAGTTGCTCGCAAAAGCCCGTTTGACAGAAATGTTTAAAAAGTGTTGGGTTTCCTACGAATCCGCAAGAGCGCGCGGGATGAGATTTTGACAGTTTTTTGTTGAAAAACCATTGGTTTTTTGATGTTTTTATGTTAAAATCGCTGCGAACACTAAGGTTTTGGAAGGATTTCGTCTTGCGCGCGCGAATGTCCACTTTACCTTATTTTTTGCAAGGGATTCTTGAAATTTGATTATATTAGAACAAGAAATGTCATTTTCTAGTGTTTTTTGCAAGGGAAAGCGGATTACAACAAAACAACCGGATCTGATCACATCGTTTTACCTGAGGCTTCCTCACGAAAATGATGAAAATGTAGCTGCGGCCTAGGCGGCGCAGGGGGGGCGCGCACCAGGGGGCCCAACAATAATTATTCTTTAGAATAAATAATGTTCAACAACAACAACAATTACTAGCACGTGGGGACACTCCGTTCTCACCAGTGCCAGGGTTTTCATAGGAGGCGGGCAATACCCCCACTTTGTGGGGGGGCCGGTTCAAGCTCTACCAAATTTCCAAACGACTCTTCGCCACCACCCACACCCAGCTTCCCGCCCTATGACGTTCGGACACTTCACTTCGTGGCCTGCGGACGACCTTGGCTACTACACTGGCGCATGGTTACAATGACTTCTTGTGGTAACATCTTGTGGAAACTAGCTTAGTATACGACTTATACCCCTGTTCCAACAATGGGCACGTGTACCGTTTTCCGACGTTTTAACGTTTCTGTACCACACAAGCCAAGACCCTTATTTTGACTGGTATCACGTGCGTGGCGCCAGCATACCACAGGACTTGTTTCCGTTGTTGTGAGACGATATATGCTCATTCTTGTTCTGTGGTTCTCGTTCCGGCCTCAATGTGCAATACTGGCTCACTCGTCGACGAAATACACGTGACTACCTCTCTCTGGTTGGAGGTCCTGATGGTTGTGGTTGTCCCGATAATTGTCGCGATGAGTGTCCCGATGATTGTCCCGATTGTTGTTCCGATGGTTCTCCCGATGGTTGCCCCGATGGTGGTCCCGATCGTTGTCCCGATGGATGTCCCGATGGTTGTCCCGATGGTTGTCCTGATGGTTGTGGTTGTCCCGATCGTTGTCCCGATGGTTGTCCCCATGGTTGCCGCGATGGTTGTTCCGATGGTGGTCCCGATGGTTGTCCCCATGGGTGCCCCGCCGGAGGAGGAGGAGGAGGAGGAGGCAGCAGGACAAGGCGAGGCGGACGCATACGTGCTCTGGAAGCATACTAAAGAGACGAGTCTGTGTGCTCATCGTCTTCTGGCATGCGCCTGTCCCTAATGGCACGCATCGGGCGCAATACTGCAAGCTGCGCTCCTGGCACCCATACATCAGGGGCCAAGTGTCCCAGCATGGTGCCGATACGCCTCCTCGCGGATACATCGCCCGTGCGTCCGTGGTGCGCCAATACCGCCAGGACGCCCTGGACATGCGCCGGCATACCCAGATCCACACGGTAATCCATGACATTCCCATACTCGGACTGCCCGATAGAACGCCATACTGGCATGTGCCAGACAGCGCGCGCGGGTAGAAATTTTGAAAAGTCGTGCAGGTGATTTTCGAGGACCTACGGTGCGATTCGTGTGATTTTATGATGCGCGGTGCTAAAATTCTTAAGAAGCCCGATGGTTTTTGGAGATTTCGGCGTGCGCGCGCGAAGAAAAAACGAATGTGTCCCGCATGGTATTATTTGACAGGGATGATGGCCCTGGCAGGTGCGCAACCGTTGTCGCAGAAGTTCGAAAAAGTTGCTCGCAAAAGCCCGTTTGACAGAAATGTTTAAAAAGTGTTGGGTTTCCTACGAATCCGCAAGAGCGCGCGGGATGAGATTTTGACATTTTTTGTTGAAAAACCATTGGTTTTTTGATGTTTTTATGTTAAAATCGCTGCGAACACTAAGGTTTTGGAAGGATTTCGTCTTGCGCGCGCGAATGTCCACTTTACCTTATTTTTTGCAAGGGATTCTTGAAATTTGATTATATTAGAACAAGAAATGTCATTTCTATTGTTTTTTGCAAGGGAAAGCGGATTACAACAAAACAACCGGATCCTGTACACACCCTCTTTTCTGAGGCTTCCTCACGAAAATGATGAAAATGTGGCTGCGGCCTAGGCGCGGCGGGGGGGGCGTGCACCAGGGGGCCCAACAATAATTATTCTTTAGAAGTAATAATATTCAACAACAACAACAACAATAACAATCATTTTGCCCGAACGCGTGGTGTTCTCCCCAGTGCCAGGGTTTTCATACGACACCAGGCAATACCCCCACTTCGTGGGGGGGCATTACAAGCTCTACCAAATATCCAAACGACTCTTCGCGACCACCCAAACCCAGCTTCCCGCCCTATGACGTTGGGACACTTCACTTCGTGGCGTGCGGACGACCGTGGCTACTACACTGGCGTGGGGTACACACCCACAGAACTTGGTCACTTATTCGGGGCGCGCATGTGCCCAGCATGTGCCCAGGTGTTTTTCGAGGACCTACGGTGCGATTCGTGTGATTTTATGATGCGCGGTGCTAAAATTCTTAAGAAACCCAATGGTTTTTGAAGATTTCGGCGTGCGCGCGCGAAGAAAAAACGAATGTGTCCCGCATGGTATTATTTGACAGGGATGATGGCCCTGGCAGGTGCGCAACCGTTGTTGGAGAAGTTCGAAGCACGTGAAAAAGTTGCTCGCAAAAACCCGTTTGCCAGAAATCTTTAAAAAGTGTTGGGTTTCCTACGAATCCGCAAGAGCGCGCGGGATGAAATTTTGACATTTTTTTTTTTTGGAAAAACCATTGGTTTTTTGATGTTTTTATGTTAAAATCGCTTACGAACACTAAGGTTTTGGAAGGATTTCGTCTTGCGCGCGCGAATGTCCACTTTACCTTATTTTTTTGCAAGGGATTATTGAAGTTTGGTTATTTTAGAACAAGAAATTTCATTTTATAGTGTTTTTTGCAAGGGACAGCGGGGGGGAACAAAACAACCGGATCTTGATCACATCGTATTACCTGAGGCTTCCTCACGAAAGTGATGAAAATGTAGCTGCGGCCTAGGCGCGGCGGGGGGGCCGTGCACCAGGGGCCCCAACAATAATTATTCTTTAGAATTAATAATGTTCAACAACAACAACAACAACAATAATCCGCACCGCGGAATCCCACTTCAGCCACGAACCCAGGGACACTGAATGACCGTTCGGCGTTCGGCCCCTTCACTCTGATGTAACAGGCTTGCCATGTCAAATGGCTGGCCTGCGGATTCTACTGGTGCTGATGCGAGTCCTCTCCCCCATTTCTGATCCTCTGATCTCTACCTCCACCTCTTCTTCGAAGACGCATGGCAAGATCACTCACGCGTCTGTGCTGTCATAAAACGCTCCAGCAGACAACGCACATAATGGACCAAGCCCGCGACTGGCACGGATTGAACCAAAAAGCGCGCCGCGTGGAGAACGCACGAAGTTCGAACAATCAGCAGCGGCTCATGGGCGGCGCGCGCTGCGAACCAGAGGTGACGTCACGGAGCCTGCCAAAAGCCTGCCCTGGCCGCGGCCTCTTCTCCTCGGGCCCGTGGTCAGACCCGGTGGCCACGTGCTTCCGGGGCACACCGCCCTGGCCAGGCACGGCGGCACGGCGGACCGAGGAGCGGCGCCGCGCTCCACCGCTGCTCGTGCTCCGGCCCCGCTGCGCTCGGAGGTGCACCGCGAGGTCAGCATGCCCGGTCGAGCGCGGGCTGCAGCGGAACAGCCGAGCGCTCGCAGGGAGTGTCCTCCAGTCCACCCCCATCCTCGGCCCTCCGAGGCTCCTGCAGGTGTCTCCCAGACATCCCAGCTGGCTCCCTCCTGGCCCGATCCGTCATCAGCCATCCCTCGGCCCGGGCTGCCGAGGGCTGGTGTTTTTCCCGCCCGCATACCGCCCGTCGCAGCGAGGGTGTTGAGGCAGTCACACGACTGCGCCAAATGAAATGAAAACAGAGGCCGGGCTTGGGAGGTGCGAGGCAGGGGACCAGCTCCTGCGAAAGCGGTCGGGGAAAGTGCCCTAGCCGATTGACTTGCTAAGTATAGCTCCCGGTGGCCATCGTGAGCTCTGTGCTGCACCCTGACCGAGGGGCGTAATGCATTGCGAAGTGAACAGCTCTAAGCCCACGTACTTGGTGGTGAGACGCCGATCCAAAGTGGAGAACAAAAAAACATCATGTGCGATACGAGGTTAAATGGCGCCGGCAGGGGCCAATGAAACGATGCCTCTTGAACTCTGTGCATGGCGACGCTCTCATCGAGAATCGCGCCTGAAGATGCTCTCATCGAGGGTCGGCCCCCACAGGGGTCCGGAAATTGTTCACAACCACCACCACCCCGCTCTCATAAGACTCCTCCACCCTCAGGTATCAAATCTAATATAGCAGATGGAAGCCATCATAGAGCGCGGGCGGGCGCGAGAGACAAAGTACCACACGCGGCGGGGTACTTTTGAGTTTGCTCGGCGCACACTGCTTACGGCCGACGCGCCGTTACGACAGGACTACCTCCATCCACCACCACATTTCCGCACCGCCACCTCTACGCCTCATGCACCAGATTGGCAGCAGAAAGAAACGGCCTCCCATACATGCAAATTAAATGAGACTCGCCGAGACAAGTCGGGCCGATGTCTTCCGACGGTGCTAGCCTATCTAGAAGCCCCCCGTCCCACCCGCCTGCCACGCACGCACACGCCACACACACACACACACGCACACGCACACGCACACGCACACGCACACGCACACGCACACGCACACGCTCACGCACACGCTCACGCACACGCACACGCACACGCACACGCACACGCACTCGCACTCGCACACGCGCACGCGCACGCGCACGCGCACGCGCGCACGCGCGCATGCGCACGCACACGCACACGCACACGCACACGCACACGCACACGCACACGCACACGCACACGCACACGCCCGTCCCATTATTATAGAGGGGAGGAGAAGGTACGCTAGGAGTGGAGAAGAAAGGTAGCCAAGTCCTGCTGCAAAGCAGGGTGCGTACTTTGGTATCCGCCAGTCACTGATTCACCTCCTCCTCCTCCTCACCTCCACTGAAACTTCCCCCACCACCTCCTCCACCTCATCCTGATACACCTTGTCGCTCTGAGAGCGTGGTGAGGAAGCATTCGAGCAACGCCAAACGCCGTAGTTGTCGAAAAGTGCCATGCACTGCACTGCCGGTGGGCCTCACGTATTGAATCCACATCGAAAACAATACCTTCGGCCGTCAACGGCTTTCGAGAGATTAGTTTTGCACGGAGCAGCCTCTCCTGGCTTCTGTATGAGCTGAACCAAGTACTTCACTTTTGATCCGAGGTCTGTTTCATTATTGTCGCTCCGCTCCTTTCCCCTCCTCCGCCTTCCCTGGTCCTCCTGCTCCTCCTGCTCCTTCCACTCCAGCTCCTGCTGCTGCTGCTGCTGCTGCTGCTGTTCGTCCTCGTCCTCCACCTATTTCGTCCTCCTCCTCCTCTTCCGACTGCTCATCCGCTACCTCCTCACATGAACGCAGCTTCTTTTTTGCCCGATCGCGCATAAAGCGACGGGGTCCCATTTGGAGTTCCAGGCGTGGTACGACACACGCCGGCGGATTGAGGACAGCAGCAGCGCGATCGGAAGGGACGGGTGGGAGGGGGGAGGATTTCGGACACGGCGCGATCGCACCTCGCTTGTCCTCCTCCCCTCCTCCCTCCCTCCTCCCTCCCTCCCTCCCTCCCTCCCTCCCTCCCTCCCTCCTCGTCATCCTCCTCCCTCCCTCCCTCCTTCCCCTCCCTCCTCCTCCTCGTCCTCCCTCCCTCCCTCCTCGTCCTCCTCCCTCCTCCCTCCCTCCCTCCCTCCCCTCGTCTTTCTCCCTCCCTCTCTCCCTCTCTCCCCTCCCTCCTCCCTCTCCCTCCCTCCCTCCCTCCTCCCTCTCCCTCCCTCCTCTTTTCCCCCTTTTTTTTCCTCGTCCTCCTCGTGCTCTCCTGCCCTGCGAGGTGCAGCACGAGCTCCACCGCCAGCAGAAGGCCCAGTGCCCCAGGCCCTGCACCCTGAGCCCCCGTTTCGGCCAGGACGAGGAGTCCGACCCGGGGGAGGGGGGTCGGCAAAGAGGGGGAGGACGAGGCGGAGGAGGAGCAGGAGGACTTTTTAGCATTTTTCGTCCAACATCCGCCTCTAGGGGGACATGCCCGACCTAAGCTCAGGGCCCCGTCCTCCTCCCCTGATATCCGCCGATTTGTTTTTTCGAATATGGACGCTCTTCTTTTCGTTTCGGCCCCAAGGGACCTCATCGGGCCCCGGGACCGTCAAACAAAGACTTGGGGCGAAAAACTAATTGGGGAAGCGGTCGGGACCTCTAAGGCTCCTGTTTCGCCTTCTCCTCCTCCTCCTCGTCCTCCTCCTCCTGGTCCTCCTCTTTCCTGGCTCTCAGTCTATATCCTTAGATGCCTTTGCTACCAGTTGCTCCTATCAAACAAGTTTCTCCTCCTCGCCGTCATTCCTACTCCTACTCCTCCTCCTCCTCCTCCTCCTCTTCCTCCTTCCCGTCCTCCTCCTCCTTCTCGTCATCTTCATCATCACCATTCCCTTCATCATCATCATAATCATCATCATCATCATCATCATCATCATCATCATCATCATCATCACCAGCATCGCACAATCATCAGCAGCATCATCATCATCACCACCATCATCACCATCACCATCACCATCATCGTGATCATCATCAGCATCATCCCACCATCTCATCATCATCATCAACATTATATTCGTCTCCATCATGTTCATCAGCATCAGTGTCGTGACCATCATCGTCATCAACATCATCATCATCATCATCACCATCATCACCACCAGTACCACTATCATCATCAGTCAGCAGTATCATCATCAGCATCATCACCATCGCTACCACCAGCACTACCGTTGTCGTTGCCATCATCATCACCATCATCACCAGCATCATCATCTTCACCATCTTCATCATCACTATCAGCATCAACATCGTCATCGTTAGTATGGGTCTCGTTGTCCGCGTCATTGCTCCTCCCCATCCTCCTGATCGTCATCATCATTATCACCATCACCATCATCATCATCATCATCATCATCATCATCATCATCATCATCATCATCATCATCATCATCATTGTCATCACCATCACCATCAGTACAATCGTCATCAGCAGCGTCATCATCATCATCATCAGCAGCATCATCATTCTTATTATCAGTATGGCTATTGTTACTGCCAATTCATCCGTATTATGGTTATTGGTAACGTCATGATTTGTTTCCGTGTTATTATTGTTATGATTGTTTCCACTAATATTAGTATTGTTATTGGTCGCCTTATCATCATCATCATTATTTTAGTCAAAAATATGAGCATCATTATCATTATTAGTAGTACTATTGAGAAAATTGCTCACACTAATTCAACAAGTATACAATTTTCAAGAGCAGTAGTATTATTGTGACTGATGTTGTGTTTGTTGTTGTTCTTGTTGTGGTTGTTGTTGCTGTTGTTGTTGCTGTTGTTGTACGTCTTACCATTCGTATTCGCATCAATGTTATTATCATCGCTGGGCCAGGCCCGTCGTCCTGGACATTGTGCAGAGGAGGACGGGCCGGCCGGGACGGACTCCCCGCTCCGGTTCATGATCGGTTTATTATCGACATCTGGGGCGATAGCCAGGCCGTCGCGGAGTGGATCATCCGCAGGTGGTGCTGCTTCAATCCGAGATTGGGGCCGCCGTTGCGACGGGCCGCCGTCGCGACGGTCTCTGGGCCACAGGCGCAGCCACCCCGGCGGAGGCAGGAGGCGACCGGCTTCGACACGAACTCCGGGGGGCCAATGTTGTCGCGCACGAGCTGGCCGGGCGTGCGGCCAGATGCCGCCGCACGGAGTACCATTCCCACGACTTCGCTGGTAAGCGCTTCCCGGCTGCAGGGAGGACCATTTACTTGCGTTGTTCTTTTGGCGGGAGCTGCGAGGGTCAGCATGCTGGTGCAGGGTGCTCGATTGACATTCGGCTGCAAGATGGTGTTGAGCACCAGTGGACGACGGCATGAGTTCACCTCGACAGCATGACCTCGACGACTGCGGAACTAGTGACTAGTGGCCGCTTCCACCTTGAAAGAGCTTCTGGCAGAAATCGTCTCCTGCCGCACCCACGGCGCGATGAACAACTTGAGCTGGGGGGACGTTGGCCACCGGCGCCCACGAACCCGTCGGCGCCTGTAGCGTGCCAGAAGCAGGAGCGTGATTTGCAGCAATTTACTTCCAGGTGAGAAAAGGGACCACAACTCAAAACAATCCTGAGAATCATCGTCGCCAGCATCATCACTATCACCATCATCACCAACTTCACTGCTATCATCATCGCCATCAACATCGACATCACAATCGCAACCATTATCATCGTCATTACCATCGTCATCGGCATCATCACCACCATCATCATACCCGTCATTATCATAGTCGTCATCATCGCCATCACCGTCATCAACATTGCCTCAACCATCATCACCATTATTATCGTCGTCGTCGTCCTCCTCCTCATATTCATCCTGCC